AAATGTATGACACCAATAATACCTACCTTACTTTGTTGCAAGAATTATTGAACACCCCGAAATGCTTGGAATTTCACATTATTGATTATATCATTTTGAATTTATTTAAAATCCGGGGAAGAATTTTCAACAATAAGGTAGGATTCAATGTAGAATATGAGCTCTTCGTATTGAACACTTCATTCTACATTATTTGTTTTGTTTATTTCAGAATAATAAAAATAATTTATTCTTCTCTCATTCGAGAGTTTCTTATTCAGTTGAAAAATAATAATAATAAAAAAAGGAAAAAAAGAAAAAAAGAAGAAAAAAAGAGAAAGAAGAATAAATTTTTGATTCCATCCTCCTCAGAAAGAAGAATAAATTTTTGATTACATCGTCCTCAGACCAAAGGCAATTACAGATTTTTATCAGCCGACCAAATGTAAGTATTTCACTTCTTATCTGCTTTACTTTCTGCATCATAGAGTTTGCATTAAGGACAATGCAAAATTTAGGTGTGGGGGTGGGAATTAGTTATTTTTTCTCTTTGTTTTACATTTTTTTGTTGCATTTTTGTCATTTTTTATTTTTCCAAAAAAAATTATAAAAATAACGTCACTTGCCAAATTGATAGAGTTATGTAATAATTGATTTATTTGATAAATTTTAAATTTTCTAATCTGTTATTTACTCAAGTTCACTTTTTATGATAACTCTAAATAAAATTCTTAAGAAATGATTTTCAAAGTAGTATACTTTACTTAAGCCTTAACTTAGATTTTTATTTAAAATAATGGAATACATGCTTAGCTTAGAGTTAAAAATAATTTTTCAAAGTGGCTTGACTTACATATTTTTTAGAATATATACACATATACATATAAAAAAAAATTTTAAAAATGGGCACCAAAAAGAAAAAAAACTCTTGAATTCAAGGTGATTCTATCTTATAAAGCCTAAGCTGATCGAGTAATTAAGCCCAATGAGTATTTTCATACTTAATGACCTAAGCCCAATTGGGTTGGGATCCATTGGCCCAAAACTCGTTAAATAGTCGCTTAGAAAGCCCGTTAAAGTAGAAAAAAATCACCAAGGAAGAAAGAGTTAAAAATAATAATAATTTTAAAAATTAAAAATAAAAATACTAATAAATGTTTTATATATAGTTATATTTGTATATATGGTCTTGGAAAATATTTTAGATCAAGCAACTTGAATATTATTTTAAACAAAGAGTTAGCATGTTCTTTTCAAAACTTTTAAATTAAATTTCTAAGTTTGGCTTGGTTTTATATTGCTATAATGAGAAGATTTTCTAGGAAATTTACCTTAGAGTTATATATAAAAATGTTTTCTTAAGTAATAACTGGCTCCAATTAGATTATCTAAAAGTTATCAAGTAAATTTAGTTATTTACTGACTTCTTTAATTTGACAAGTTGACCGAATTTTGTGGGTATATTCACTGCAAACCCTCACGAGACTACAACTCGTCCACTAGGGTAACCTAGGGGTTCAAAGGCTTGTTGTATGCGCTAAATACAACCGCGATTCCTGCGAAAGTGAGTTAGGTTTTCTTTTCTTTTTCGTTCTTTGCTAGAGGACTAGCAAAAGTTTAGGTGTGCGGGTATTATATACACATCTGATCTACCATAAAAGGAAATTGAAGTATGTTGCTAAGGGTATGCTATTTTTTAGCAACTTTTAGCAACTTTATTTTGAACTAACGTCATCGTTGGGAGAACCACTAGAGATCCTATCTCTAACGTCTCATGAATCCTTCATGTGCAGGATAGGTTTTCTGTCTTGAGAACCAACCATCTGAGCAAACTTGAGGATCCTAACAACCATAATTTCCATAAAATAACCTCATGTTCGATAACTGATATCAACATAGTTTATCATCTACTTCATCTGAAGATGGCAAGAGAAAGTAAACTGCATCCATGAATGGAAACCAAAGAGGCATGAAAAACAAGCCCATATGGTTCAATTTTCCAAAATCAAAATAATATATTTTCTTGTACTGAGCGTGTTCACTCGAAGGTTGTGCTCATGCACTCACCCCAATGCCATGTCAATCATGTTCTGATAGCAGATTGAGGAATCAAAAATAGAGAATCTTCATTGAAAAACCTACTTGAGTGCTTATGCTCGTTGTTTGGGCATGCATGCTTAACACTGTAAACCAAATTGCTCTCGGGAATTTTACTAAGCGTATGCATTGGATAGATCCAGTGCATGCGCTCATGCTGAAATCTACGAGTTTCAAATCTTTTTCAATCAATGCCTCCTCAATTCAAAACCAAATCGTAAACTAACTTCAACCCAAGTTCTACTGCCAACAGGAATATATTCCATCACGTTTCATATTAAATGATCAAGTATTTCTAAATTCACCACACAACCTTTGAGCTCGGAATCTAAACTAAAAATGAAGACAACCCTTTATTCAATCTACTCAAAACTATAAAACTGTAGAGCTCACAAAATACTCAAGACCTACGAAAAATCTCATCAAAACATGGATTAAAAACTCTGTCTTGTAAAGTTAACAGTAATTTACAACAATGAGTCCTTCTACTTGAAAGAAATTATGGATTGAGATCTACCTCTCAGAAAGATTCTCCCCTTGATCAAATCTCACAAAAATGAAAAATAAATCCTTTCAAAATCTAACTTGTATCACTAGCAAGAGGAGAATGAGAACTCTAAAACTCATAAGTCTAAATTTTAAAAAGAAAAATATTATGCAGGAAATTTCTCAACATTTTTCAATGTGTTATGACAATGTTATGGATTCAAAAGCTCAGATGTATGGTGTTTTTATTTTCCTACCATATCTCGGTGCATATGGTGAGCCCGTAATAATTTGATCTTTTCTGGAGAAAACCCGGAAGCTTGGAAATTGGCATCTAATGTGGCTCATTTTATGCTATTCTGGCCAAGGAATTCAAGTAAGAAGAGGACACTGAAGGAAATTGTTAAGGAGAAGAGAATAACAGAATTCCTCTATTCTAGTAATGACGCTTTTGTTAGAGTAGGAAGATCACATCCTCGGTGTTAAGATGTAAACAATATCTTTTCTCTCTGTTTTGAATACTTTCTCTTTTGTTAGCTTTTTAAGCTAAATTTGCTGGGCCTATCAACAATTTCTTTTGTTGTTTACAACTTATGTTTTGTTTTTATCACCCATATGATGTACATTGGTTTTTATCTATTTGTGATAATAAGGGAATATGGAATGTTGTAAAGAGTGGCGATAAAGGTCCGCTTCTCTTTTTGAATTTTTTAATCCTCGAAATTACTTTTAGATACTTACTATTATATCACATCATGCGTTGTTTCTAATATAACTTTTGGTAGGACATCTCGCCCTACTTCTCCTTCAAAAAAAAAAAAAAAGATTCCAAATGTTATTGGTGAAAAAAAAATTAAGCAAGAAAATACTTGCCTTGAGTATGGTAGCGATCCTCTTTTTGGCCTCCAAGCTCTCCAATCTCGGCCCTAATACATGAGTGAGAGGATATGAAGCTTTTATATTAGGGATTAAGAAGAGGGTTTTTGTTCATTGGGTATCCATTCTATTGGATCCAAACCGATAAGCTAATTTAACATAATAACCCATTTATCTCTCCATTAAGGCTCAAACCATTATGTAAACCCAAGAAATCCAAATGAAACACAAAACTTGATTTAACAAGCATAAAACAACATTTGTGACTTTATACTTGATGAAAAGCAACCTGTATATATTGAAATGGTTTAATCTTGATCAATCTATAGATTCAACGGTGATGATGTGTGTGCAACTATAATAGTTACGCCCTGTGTGTGCTTGTGTGTGTATATGGTTCCTGTCTTATCTAAAAAAAATAAACTTTCCAAATGTTTATGTAAAAAATTAATCCTATCACAAGAGCCACACATGGAAGGGCTACATTTTTTTGAGGAATTGAAGATAATGATGTAGGTAGAAGAGAGAGAGAGAGAGAGAGAGAGAGAGAGAGAGAGGGAGAGAGAGAGAGAGAGAGAGAGAGAGGACTGAGGTTTTTAATGTGCCTCATCTACTCCTCTACACAAATGAGAAAACCCAAGATTCAGTGTTCATGCACAGTAAATGCTACAGTAGCATTTACTCTAGCATTATCACTGTAGCAACATAAAACTAGATACTGTGTTTTTTAAAAATACTATAGTACACGGGAATACTATAGCAGAGGCGGGACACTGTAGGAATTAAAAAGGTTCAAAACACTATAGCAGTTAAAAACTGAAATTACTGTAGCAATCAAAAAACTGAAATTACTGTAGCAGTGAAAAACACGGTGTTCCCACTAGTGAGCGTTGGGAGGAGAAAAACTGACTTTACTTTCAGAATAGGACAAAAGTGAGTTGGCCTTTCAATCTCTCTTTCTCATGAGCATAGGCCTTTTTGCGGGGTTGAGGTTCGTCACATGGGTGTGTTTGGTGGACCCCACTAAGAGTGGTAGAGGGATACATAAAGCGTGTGAGTGAATTCAAAGTGGGTGTCGCTAGGCATCACAGCGGTTCACGGCTACGAGATGCCCTTTATGTAGTCCTTGCGATCACTTCCGTGATCACCGATCTTAGAAATGGTAGACCGACCCGAACCAAAGGCCCCTTAGAAACCGTACCGAACTGCCAAAGTTTCAACGATTTGAACCGAACTTTGCTCATCCCTCGTTTCCACACGACCAATTGATAGTTCGCACCTGGGTCTTGCCCCCACCCAGAGCATTCTTAAGCCTCCGCCGCAGGTTTAAGGGCCTGTTTGGATTCGTAGGGGGTGAAGGGAAGTTAAGAGAAACTGAGTGAAGGTAAGGGAAGGGAAAGGAAGGGAAGGGAAGGGAATTCCCTTCCCCTTAGTTACACCCTAATTTGGGGGTAACAATTTTTATACTATTAGGGGGTGAACCAAGGTGAATAGAGGTGACTTCACCTCCTAGTGTTCTCAAATAAAGTGAATGGAGGTGAATGATTCCCTAACTTCCCTTTAACCTCGTTCCCCTCAATCCAAACAAGCCCTAAAATACCGAAACCATCTGGTAGGATCGCGAGGAAAGGCGATCAATCCTTGTTGGTTCTCGAAAAAAACTAGAGAACGAGAGAGAAAATAAGCAATGGCGGATAGCTCTGATGTCCTGGGGTTTTTGAAGAGGCATTTCGAAGACGTTAAGGATCACTGGAAGAACAACTTCGCCTTCTTGGATTACTACAAGAAGACGCTTGGGAGGAAGGAGCCGCTCCCTAAATGGACCGATGCGGATGTCGAGGAGTTCATCGCCTCCGATCCCATCTATGGTCCTCAGGTCTTGATCAGACCTCATCACTAATTTCCTCTTGTTTTGATTTCAATTCGGGTCAGCTAGGGTTTCGATCCAAGAATTTGCTTTTGGAATTAAGGGGATCTCCTTTAATTTTTCTGTTAAATTACTGGTTTCTTCAGTTGAAGGCAATAAGGGAATCAAGGAAGTTTGCGGTTGCTGGGGCGCTTGTTGGTGCAGCACATTTGGGAGGGATTTCGTGGAAATATTCCAAGAGCCCACATGGTATGTTATGGTTTGGCTTTTTCTTCTCTTGTAACCAAATGTTGTTACCCATGTTTCCGATTACAAACTGTTTAATTTGGACTTTAATGGTTGCTTTCTAATTAATAACTTTAAGACATGCTGCAAAATAAATTGGACTCCACTCAGCTGCTAAGTTGTAGGACTATGTAGTTTCTGTATTTTTGACTTTAATGGAATGATTACTAAAGGTTTTTTTTTTAACATGACATCTGCAACCTAGCAAAATAGTTTAATAAAACAATTCATTCAATGAAAACATGCAAGTTATAATAGTAAGGGAAAAGTAAATCTTGATGAACTCTCAAGTTTCCCCCTAAAGTATCAATTTGCCTATTTCCCCCTTGAACTATGTGTATTAGTGTATATGACCAATCTGGTCATTCATGAGTCAACAGACAAATATTTAATTGATTAATGATGTGACAGTATCTTTCTTGCATTTCTTGTATTTTATGAAATTTTAAAAATTGATTTTTCAATTTCGAAATGGATAAAGAGTAAAAAATTTTGGAAGAAAATAGTTAATAATTTTTTTTTGGTTTGAAAAAAGGAGACAAACTAATAAAATCATATGAAGAAATGCAAGAAAACATTGTCACATCGTTAATTTGTTAAATATTTGAGTTGAGCTAACAGAATGACCACAGTGGCCTAGTTTAAGGGGCAAAATAGGTAAATTGATGCTTTGGGGTGGGGGAAGAGGAGTTGAGAGTTCACCCATACTTTAAGGATGAATTAGTTATTTTATCCTAATAGTTATGGATGGAAGTTTAAATCTTTTCACTTTTTTATGTACAAAAGAAAGAAACGAGAAAGGGCTAAACTTTATGCGAAAAGCTAATTGAAAAAAAAAGAAAAGAATATATACTGTATGAATTATTTTGTTCTTTTGGTTTTATAACTTGTAATGCAATGGGTTATATTTACGAATAATAAGTTGTATGGAAGTAGTTGCAAGTAATGAACAAGATATCTCTTTCAATTTTAGTAGTTCACTATATATTATCATTTCCATATTATTTTTGGCTTTTGTTTTCCCATATGTGTTATATTCTAAAGACATTTGATAAGGTTTTCACATAAATCCTCTAGGCTATGTTTAGATTGAGGGGCATAGGGGAGTAGAGAAGGTAGGGGAGCGCATTCAGCCCGTTTTGGATAACTTTTAATGAGTTAAGTATTCCCCCTAGCCCCTAGGTCCCATAAGTTCACCCTTAAAAGTACAAATTTTGGCCTCCCACCCCCGAAATTAGGGTGGAACTGAGGGGAAGGGAGTTCTCTTAACTTCCATTCTCTTCTGTCCTCTATTTTCCCTTGACCTCCCCAACCTCTAATGAAATCCAAACATGCTGTAGTGTGATGCAGGACGGTAGAATGAGCTATATCTAATGGTCAAATAAATGCAGTAAAACAAACAAATATGTGACTGCAAACTCTAAACTAACAAGACAAGATTTCTATGATTCTAGCATTTGGATAGTTGTTATCCTAAGTATTAAGATGCAAAAGCATCAAGTTTTCATAACCAGTTGCCAATAAGATGATAACTATCAGTAAATCTAAAAGTTGAAATATAAATGTTTTAAGTTAAACAATCAAATAAAGTGAATATACCCAGCGACAAGAGTTGCTGCTATTTTTCGGCCTTAGGCTTGCTTGGTTGACAGAGTTCTTCCCGATTGCTTGCTAGAAATTTCCTTTGGTCTTGATATACAATTCAAATATAGTGCTTGGGGGTATTTTCTAGATTGGGAGAACTATTGGTTGAAGAAAAATGGTATCATAGGTTGGACATTGCTGTTGGGAAGTTCTTAATGGCTGGATTTGATTTCTGGGCATTGAAGGAGTGCGGTGATTCTTGTATGGTAGCATGCAAAGCAAATGTTGATTGTGATGATCTGTACCATGTCCTCCATTGCAATGATTATTCCTAGCTAAATGTTGATTGTGATGCTCATGCACAGTTGCATGGAACCCGATTCGTTGCGGTTTACTAGAGGGGTATGGGAACGTGGTACGCCACTCATTAGGAATCGGGTACGAGGGGGTAGACTTGTATGGTACATCACGGAACGTGGTACGTTTTAGGTTTAGTTCTTAAATGCCAGTGGATATCAGTAATAATAAAAAACCTTGAGAATCATGTTGCAATTAAGATATGCATACTATATTTAATTTTTTACTTTTTTGTTGTTTATTCTTTCGAAAAGAGTTATTTTTTTCAAAATTTTAATTGGTTCATTCTAACTTGGATCGCTAGAGTTGGTGAATCTGGTCGTGTTCTAGGTGAATCTAGGACGATTGAACCTGGGTCGCGGTTCACTATAACGTACCACATTCCCAACTTCTATGTCCTCATCTCATGTCGTTCTCGATGTTTGGTAACTCTAGGGTTCTGGAAGTGCATTAAAATTGTCTAACAGCCTCTTGACATCTAGCAATTCTTTGTCTCGATTCTTTCATCCATTGTGATTCTAACTCTTTACCATTCTTAAGCATACTATCTGTATAAACAAGTGATCTAACCTCATATAGGACTACGATTTGATGCATGATGCTAGAATGAGTATTATGATCTAATAGTCAATTAATTGCATTCATGCAAGCAAATAAATGAGAATGCAATTCTTAATTGATAAGATTTCTAAGATTTATAAATTGAATGATATAGGTGGGGTTCCCTTTGATGATTTATGAGATAGATGCAATTCTATGTGATAAAATGCAAAATAATTTAAGATAATCAAGTGAAGTGGCTAAAAGAATAAGTAACAAAGATATATCAAATGTGATTCTAGGTTTTGTTTGGGCCAAGGGGAGGGTATTAGAATAGGGGATGACTAGGCTAGTCTTAGGATTTTTTGGTACTACACCAACGAAACATATGCATCATCAAATTTCATCAAAACCAAAAGTTATAATATTTCAAATCTGTTAGTGATTGTGTGATGGGATTTCTGTTGGTGGGATAGAGCTTGTAAGTAAAATTCTATTGCTTCTATTGGTGGTGGTGTGATGGGCTTTCTTTTGTTAACAATGGAGATAGAGTTTGTAAGACAAGAGAGAGGGAGAAAAAATGGGGAGATGATGGAGAGGAAGAGAATGAGAGGAATTTTGAAGAAGTAGCAAAATGAATACTTTTTTAGGCTTAATTAAAATTAGGGCTATGTTACACATTATTAGTTACAACATTAGAAGAACAAAAAATTAAGGGGCGTACATATCAAAATCTTTTTTTTTCTTAAGAAACTGCTCAAATTCCTAAATTCAATTCATTTACCTTCAATCAAACATGCTAAGGCTTTACATGTGTTCAACCTTTAGACTCCTTGAATGCACATTGTCTTCAGTGCTTGTGAACTCAAAATATTGGTATAAAAGCATCTCAGGCTAGCTTGATAGATTCAACTCATAGCTATCCTTATCCTAGCTTTCAATGAAAATGGATGAAGGGTCTATTCAAAGTAGAATCAAGTACAATGTTCTCATTTTTGGGGTGTTGTTTTACACTAAACAAGAGAGGCTTGGTTATTGTCAGAAGCCTGTGTCTATGACGCGGCAAGACCCAAGGAAGTAGGTCCTAAATAGCAGATGTTGGAGTGGGATGCGCTTTGGGGTTGCGAAACTAAGATCGAGAGACATTGTTGGAATCGGCCTCACCGGGTTCCTCTGCGTCATCTTCGAGCTTGATCCTAGAGGTTGTTCCAACACAAACAACTTGTCAGGTGTAAAGTTGGTCATGGCAAAAGCCCTTTTGACTCTCAAATGAACTAATCAAATTTGAAAGAAGCAAAGCTATGATAAAAGGAGTTTTTGACTTTGATAGTATGTAAATGAATGTGAGAAAAGGCGTTAAGGTTGTTTTCATCCTTTCGTTCCCGTAGTACGGGGCTGTGTAGTAAGGAGCACAATAACCATAAAGAGAATAAGGAGCTGAATGAGAGGGAGGAAGGTCAACCTTCTCCATAGGAATAACTACTTTGACTAGCAGTATGGTAGATTCAGATGATACCAAGAGTTCCTTCTATGCACTGTTGTACCTGGTGTTGATAACTATTTTGTACTTTAGAAACACAGAAAAACATAGACATGACCATATATCTAGTCAAAAAAGACCAGTGCAAAATGTCCTTTCAACAATCAAAAAACTTAAAGTGCATTAATTTTTGTCACCTCATTACATGAACTTTTGGGTAAACTTTGTGTTATAAATGTAAGGTACTTCAAGTCTTTGATTAGGTATTCCAACTGTGAACTATGTACTTCAAGGAGTTTTGGGGTTTGATTCAACTATATCAAGTTAGTTTCAGAAGGTAATAAATGCCTAAAATATCAAATTGGTATATAAAGTGGCACCACTTTATGACTTTAGTATGTAACATGATCTTGCGATGAATTGGGATAAAGGGTGATCCACCTGACGTAATGGATCTTGTAAAAAGGAAATTAGTAGAGTAGTAATATAAAAAAATCTTAGGAGTAGAGCATTACAAGATCCTTCTATTCCAGCAAAGAGACTGCAATTGCAGCACATTGTACTTATAGAGTCTATTACAACTAGGAGCATTGAGTCTTATTTGTATTAGGAGTATAAATTCTATTGTAATTAGGAGTATGAGTCCTAATACAACTAGGAGTAGTATTGAGTCCTATTACAGCTAAGAGTATTAGTCCTATTTATGCTAGGAGTATGAGTTCTATTGTAATTAGAAGTGTGAGTCGTCTTGTGATTAGGAGCATGAGTCCTATATGATTAGAAGTCTATAGGATTTGAATTACATATGAGTCCTATCTTAATTAGGAGTTTGTAATTTCAGATTTAGGAGTCCTAATTAATTAGGAGTTGTAGTCTTATTCATAGTGGATGTTTAAATAGAAATTTTATAGAAGAATTCTATTTAAATAGCAAGTCCTATTCATATAGTGACTCTAATCAGAGTTGTTGAGATATGAGAATTCTATTTAAAGAGATGAATTGT